AGATATCTGGTCGAACCAGACTCCTTTGAGCTCTACTGTGTGCCAGTCTCCCAGTGATGGTATTGCGTCAATTGAAGAGGAGATGTCTGTAGACGCTGCTATTGATAAGCTCAAGAACTGGCAATCGGTGAATAGTGCTCCTGATTATAAGATGAGGGTCCGAGAGTTAGATGACGATGAAGACCGTGACGTACCTCAACAACGTTATTGCTTTGAGTTATCGATTCCTATGAAGGAGAATGGTAAGAAGATCCGCCAACAACAGTACGACTATTCTGGTGCTATGATTGGTAAGCTGAAACCTGAAGAACGGGAAAACTATAAGAATGAGATTGATGGCTATATAAGGGCTGGTTATTGGCAGGATCTGGAAGTATCCCCATTGCCTCGACGTTATAACTGTGCAATCTCTGATCTTCTTCCAGTGGTAGTGTTCCCCGTCAAGCAAGAGGGGCGACATACTCGTATTCGCCCCTGTGCAGATGCACGGGGGGCCAATGAGCAATCCCCCCGTGCTTCTTATCGTGGTGGTTGTATATCCTCTATCCTTCAGCATATTATGATTGGCTGGCGTGAAGGTTTCTGCGTGCATACCCGAGATGTGAAGAAGGCCTTCTATAAAGTAAGACTACTTGTTCCTATCCGGGTTGTTACGAACTCGAAGGAATTTGTTACTACTCGAATGATATTTGGCCTGGCTTGTGGGCCCTCGGGCCTGGAGCATTGTATGCAGACGATCCTTGCATTGGCCCGACTAAGTTGCCCTGCGAATTCAGTATTATGTCATGGTTGTGAGATCTACCTTGACGACATCACGTTTTATGGAAAACATGCCGATGTTATTGAAGCTGAACGTGTGTTTAAAGAGATAGCATTGTTGTTCGGTTTTCAGTTCGCTGAAGATAAATCGAATGTACTTTGTATTGATCTCCCTGCACTTGAACCTTTCAAGCATTTAGGCGTGTGGTGGCTCTTTGAAGATAGTTACTTGAAGCTGGTATGTAATCGTGAAGGCTATCTACAAAAGTTGTCTAATCTACATCCGAGTAGCAACAATTTAACTAAGAGGAAATTGTTTGCCATTGCAGGTCTTACATTGGACATGTTCTATTCCCATGCCCTCCTGGCATTCTTTGGTGATGCACTACGTATAATCGGAGGTCGCTCTCCTCTTGATTGGGACAGTACTATTTCCCTGACCGATGCAGAGAATTCTGCTGTCTCGTCATGTTGTGATCTTATAGCCGATCTACTTCAAGGAAGTTGCCATCATGATCCTGTTTATAGTGAGGAACTACAGTTTAATATTACCTCTGATGCGAGTCAGTTTGGCTACGGATGGTCTATTACTGAGAATA